TGTTTATATGTATCTGTATTGAGATTTGGTTGAATTTAGAGCTTGTGATGGTCCAAATCAAGCATCTAAGGAGTGAAATTTTAGATCTTGGGAATGATTTCTGGATTTAGGCTTCGATTTGTTGAATTTTGGAAACTGAATTCGTGCGTTTGAAACTATTCAATTGCCCTTGGAAACTTACCTGGTTAGAGATTCGCATTGGTGCTTAAATTCTCAATCTTTGTGAACAATGGTGATGAAATTTATCCTTTCGTAGATTGAAACGTAGGATCTACGTGCCTCTGTATCTTAATCTGATTTCTTTGCAAGTGGATATAGCGATGAGCTCATATGTGTTTCTGAAGGGTTTGTTAACTTTGTTGATCCTGAGTACAGGTCAAGAAGATGTTGGAAGCCGAATGTCCAAGAGAAGCGATTGTTCAGTTACATATTCGACCGTCATATTAAAGTCAAAGTGACAATGCACGCTCTCCGCTGCATCGACAAGGCAGGAGGAATAGACGAGTACCTGCTCAAAACACCGTACCAAAAGATGGATACAGAGATGGGTCTATTCTGGAAAACCAAAGTGGAGCAAAGATATGCAGAGCTAGGTCAAATGGAAGTAGCTTTCTTCACTCCAGAGGACGAAGCCAAATTTGAACAAGGATTCAAAGACTTGAAGATAGCTAAGAAAGATGCTCGTAGAGAAGCTAGAAGAAAAATGTATGGAAAGAAAGACGGAGATGAGGAAGGAGAAGCTTCTCTTGAAGGTGGAGGAGGGTCAGAGACACACCAAGATGATCATGGATGGTTAGAAGCTAATGCTTAAGAGTGTTTGCTCTCTTTTCTTTAGCTGAGTTTCTTCAATGTTTTGGATTTTGGAAGATGAGAGAGAGGTAGTAAGTGATGTTGTAGGTTATAGGTTCGATTCCTCACCTACGAATCAGAGAACTCAGGTTTTGTCTTTGATCAATGTCGAAAATTTCTTGTAATAAACGGTTTACACTTGTGGAAGTGGATCTCTATCTACTCTTTTTTTTTTTTAATATAGTTGTCATTTTCTTTAGATTCTTAATCTTGAATGGAAGGTGAAATGGTATAATCAAACTATTATTATTTTTATACAATTAACGTTTATATTCTATTAATATCTTTTCCAGTGTTTAGTGATCTTAGCATTATATATTTCGCATCTGTTTTTCTTGGAGTTTTCACATGTTCAAGATATGGTTTAATTAACTGACATTTTGTTCATATAATAAGATAGTGTTTGTGTTAGTGTCATTTCTAAATCTTTTTATATTTATTTCAGTTATAGTATGTGTATTTATGTTATCAATCATTTACCATTCATTTCATATATTATTTATTCCTCAACTAAAGTATTATTGAAACATTGGATCCACCAAATAAAAGAAAAAACAAAAATTATTTGTCGTCCTCTAATTTAAAGAATTTTGTTGCTATACCATAAAGTCACAACTCACAAATAACCTGATTTTCATTAAAAAAAAAAAAGCAATACGGTAACACTACAAAGCATTTAGAAATAAATTAAAAAATTACAAAAATCAAGGATAAAGGCTAGGGGGTTTGTTGCCCTAATAAAGGACAAGATAATTAAAATAGATTATCCTTGGTCGTGCTTAATTCGTCATCAAATACTTAAGAATGGTCTTCAAATTCTCATGATGTTTTTTTTTTCTTTTCATTTTTTCTGACCAAACAAAAGATAATCTCTTGTGTTTTTTTAATAATTAAATTTATAAAAATTCGGGTCAAATTAACTTTTTGTTTATGATCTTTAGTTCTCTACCACTACCTAGAGACGTCGCAATCTCTACCAACCGTCAGATATTCCTGTCCCATTTTAAACGGCGAGGATCTCTGCGTCTCCGTCATTTCAGATTCTTTTTTTCACTAAAAAAATCGTTAATTTTTAAAGAATGAGAAATTTGCTTTAAAATCATTATGGAATTAACAATAAATATTCGATTTTGTTGTTATTAATTCTAAAAAAGATAAATTACTTAATAACCGAAGAAAAAATATCGCCAACAAGAACAACAAAACGCTCTTCTTCTATTTTCTTTCATTTTCCAATTTTCAG